CTAAGTGATCACGAATAGTCTTAAACCTTCCACACCAACAGACCATTGTGTGATGTTTTACTTCTCTCCGAATATTCGCGTGTCAACTAAAGCGTGTCACCTAAACCAAACTGCGTGAGATTCATTGAGGCAGCAAGCATTTAACTCAATTAATCAATCAGTCTAGTGGCAGGCTATTTTTACCATCGGGTCAAAATGATGCAAGACGATTTATCACCGGCATGGCATTGATGCACTCACCCTGTTTCAATGTGGCACCGTGTTTCACAGTGATCGCAATAGTTGGGTTGATTCCGCTGCATCGGAGCAAGTCACCGACTTTGACCGCATCGATCATACCATCCCGACCGTCCCAGAAATCGAAAAGGTCGAACACCTCCCGGATATCTGTTCACGACCAGTGAAGTGATGCGTGTTGGGAATTGACAAAGCAAGAAACGACCGGAGATTAGACAGCCAAACAAAATGCAGATAAGCGAACGAAATGAACAGGTATTGCTCAGAATCTGATCGGTAACAACCAACAACTTACCCTCAACTTCAGATTTGGACAGAGAGCTCTGAAAACACAGAGGAGAATTGATTGATGAATGAAGACATAAATCATACACATCCAATGCAGTCTCATGCTAAGAAACATTATGCTATCTACTAGTAAATTGAGCTTAATGTAGGTTAGATCACATTGAATCCATTTATCAATCCAATACGAAATCACAACGTATTTGTCCATAGACTGGTAAACATAGATCCACATATGCTGAACTGGAACAGAAAATCCGTTTGACTTACCATTATGGAAAGTTGGAATTGGTTGTTGAAGAAAGTAGATCACACAAGTTTTGCAGTTCACTAGAATGTGACTGTCGCAAGTATGGAGAGCCTGAAGTAGGATGGAGGAATAAAAGTACGTGCCAGGGTGAAATCGACTGTTTATGAACGACTCGTTGATTGGTTAGTGCCTTACGATGCCAAGCACATATGCACAAACACCCGAAGATGGTGCACGTTGAATGTACCGAAGATTGGCAAGCACCCACGCACTTTGAAGATAGGTGGATACACAGACAATAGGGAAAAATGGCACAGACACATATGATTATTGCTGTAGTTCTTTTCTTACCTGAATCGTTGGACTTCGCGGTTCTGAGTTGACACTGACTTGAATGGGCATTTATCTGACTCCGGAGTGAAATGTGGCTTCGCGCTGATTGGTCGAACCATGGCAAGTGGGCACGTCCAGGTTGTGTTTGCCTCGTCTGTCCGTCATTCTATAAGCACTTTGTGCCCCCGTGGCACATTCCGTATTACCGTTGCATTCGCACAATGGGACGCGGGGCCCCGTTCGATATGGGTGCGCACACGCGCAAACAAGCAGGCACAATGCACAAAACGCCAAACCCTATTACATCGATTGAAGAATCGAGGCTACATGTCATACAACTGTGTAGTAAGAAATGAAAGCTAACAATCGACTAATTAATTTGAAACATGACAAATAGCTCAGGTCACGACCCAATGAATAGTGACTTCAAAGACATGATCAACGATGAACAAGTTTGCCGTTTAACGATCGTTTTGCTTTGTCCCGAATTCACCTCGGTCGGTTCGGATTTGATTTGATGCAAGCTCTGTACCAGATTTGTTCCAATGTGCTGCAACCATGTCTGCTTGTGCCCATTAATTGATTTGCCTGTGCACATCGGTTGATGGCTTTTAGCAGTTATTAGCTTGATGAAAACTGTTGTCGTAAGGATAAAGTAGAATACGGAAAAGCTTCAGTAATTTTGTTTCGAATGTATTCCTAAAGAGGATAATAAGAAAATCGTAATTATCTCATTTTCTTCATTCTGTTCAAACATTTTAAAATCTGCTCGGGTTTGTGCCCAACTTTCTCTCGCCGTCACACTTTAGGCACTCTATATTTCTTTTTGATATTTTCTAAGTTCGCATAACTAAAATCTTAGTAATGAACGTTACCTCAAAAAACCACAATAGTGATCATCCATTCCAGAGTACCGTTCGTTACATTGCAAATCTCAAAAGTAAATATTATATTGAATGGAATAAAACCTAAAACCCTGAGTAATAGGAATAAAAGTTGCCATGTTACTAATCCATCACGTGAGTCATCCATGGATGAATGGTGTGTATACCAACAATGGGTCGCTTATAGTGGAACGAGTTGCTGTGCACAGGCCGAATGAATTCTTATCACATATATGCCTAAATGTGAATAAATTTTATTGGTATAAGAAAAGCAGATGCTTTCTGGCAGGCGTTAGACAACGATAAGAGTATTTACAAACCCCAGGGTCTGAGAACGGTGTTTTTAATCAGATTTTCTTTCTTATCTAAGATGCGAATAAGATTTATCTGTGATGACCAGCAAACAACACTGCGTAGTTTTTTTTGTCCTGATTGGTTGTAACACACAAATATCTGTTGTACTACAACTCACGTTCGCCAGTGGGTAATTAATGAATTTCCAAGGATTGAGTCCTACAGAATAGAGCAACGCACATGTATTGAAGTCTGTTGGTCCACATGAGCAATGCATTTAGCACATCCATCAAAAAACTAATCCTACGCCCATTTTGGTGATCATGTGGGTACAACAGGATTATTGATTTTGACTCCGAATCCGGCCTTGTTGGCGTTTCGAGTCCCGGAAGGGACTGGGGAACAAACAACATGCATACTGCGCATGAGTTTGAGCTTGGATCGAATTACTTTTCGTTCACTACGAGCCACACTGTATGGTATTTTAGGACTGCAAAATGTCAATGTGTGTCACTGTGATACATGAGCACTGAAAATGAGTGCCGGTTGTAAACACTGTAGTCGAATCTGATAAACATGTATAAATCTTATCCTAAAAACCAAATAGGCTCAGAGAAACCAAAACAGAATGCAATAGAACTGTATGAAAGAATGTGATCAACGGTTTCAAACGAAAGGCCTGACGAGAATCTGTGCANAAAGGCCTGACGAGAATCTGTGCATACATATTCACGTTTATATAGTTCCTTGGTGTTCCGGATACATTTTAATGTTACTTTTGTTTAACAGTGCCGACTATCTAACGGATCCAGCTTTCAGTCGATTCTCCAATTAACTTCATGGTATTAAAGATGACCTTTTGCGTACCCTCATCGTTTTTATTGAATAACTGAAATGCTGACAAAATTCTGCCTCGGAATTGTGGGTCAGAAGCTTTACAGTTTTATTTATGATGAATATCCTATCGGTTTTATAAAGAGCTATTGCACAGGCGTTCATCAATTTCTTTGAATTTCTTTTCCGTGATTTGTGGCACTCAAACAGAGGCTTGTTCTTAATTTAAAACAGAAAACGTGTACTTGTCTCATCCACATAATAAAATAAACAATAATAATAACAGCATTAATAAATTGCGCAAATATGTGAATAACAGTCATACATATTGTACGATAAATCGACTAATATACCGTTTTGGTCTAGAATCTTGAATAAATTCCTCTCCTCTAATTAAATCAGCTATTATATGCCACATTACATGCACAGGGTCTGTTGGAAAGTGGCTCTTCGGGGTTTTAGTTGGACAAATATTTGAAAATTAGCAAGCGAGTTACTGTTTACATCGTCCTGCCGCGTTGTGATCGGCAGTGGTGGCCAGGTGTTAACGTCATCAAATTATCACCCCGGAGGACGAGTGTTCGAATCCCACCATCAACGCCTGACAGTTCCCATTTGTGAGTGGTATGGCAGCCCTGTGATTGGCCGTTTCTCCCTTCCTAAAAATTGTATCATTGTATATTCAATAAAAGAAAGTGGAAATGGGAAATAAAAAGAGAAAAACTCATCGTACCGTCTTCAGTTGTTCATTGTTCTGTGAGGAAAAACATTAGCGTAACTAGAACCTAGATTTTTTCTTCTCAGTGCCTATTGATACTGCTTGGTGTGTCTACTAATGGATGAATGGATATATGGGTAAATTTAATATGCTACTTTAAAATTTGCACTCATCCAAAGGAGCCCGGAGCTAATTCTGATGGGTAAGATAGACTTCTTCATATGATATACAGTCAAAACGCTTGTCCGTTACGGACATTCGAACCACCGGTTTCAGTGCTATGCAAAAGTTCGTTTGAAACGATTTTCAGCCAGACGTTAAACGTCGATGGACTGTGATAGGGCAAGTGTAAACCATTTCTCGAATCCTTCTCAAAAGGGGAATGAGTAATCCGGTTAGTAAATGGATTGTATACTGTTTTGACCTGATGAGAATTACGAAAAAACATCTGTTTTGGTCGCTTTCAGGCTTCTCTGACAGAACAATTAGTAATCATTTAGTAAAATTCAAATACAGTAAGCTAAAACACACTCACCCCCGTTTAATCTATCCTTTTCTTGGTAACTCAGAAGTGATAAGTCAACCAAAATATCAATCGATGAATTTGGATATAGCTAAAGAATACTATAAATTGTTGTGTGATGCGCTTATAACTTCAAACTGAACTTTCCGGAAGTTGAAGCAAACAGCCAAATAAACCACGGGCTGGACGAGATAGGTTGAAAATTACTCAGAACGTGCTAAATAGATGTGCATAAATCACCACTGGTCACATCTCAACCTATGAAATACGAAAATTTGGGGCATGCAGGATGTAATCTTACATTAAATAAATTTCAAATTTCAATATCCGGTGAAGCGCTATTCTCCCGTGCTTGTTTATGATACAGCAAAAATTGTTCTCATAGCCTGAACTATGCTAAGCAATGTACAAAATACCGGACATTGGGAGCGGAAGTGCAGTTATAGTCTGCGTTCCTAATTATCATTCACTAGGCTTAAATACAATGTTAATGAGGATTCATTGTTTGGAAATGACTTGCTTTGTGTCCAGGACAACGCTCACATTGCCCTGCACAATGAACTGTTAAATGGGGTTGTTTGCTCAACCTTTTGATACCTAATTTGTATATTACGAAGCATAGATTTTTGGTTTATTTTATGCGAGTACACAGACAAGCAGTCTATTTATAGTTGATCTGATGCGGTCTGTGGCAGTACAAAACAAAAACCGTTTTTCTGCTATTTTCTACCACTTCGAACAGCGCGGCGTTTACGGTTTAGAAATTTCGAATTCTCCAGTATATTTATATTAAATATTGTTTACTAAACTTGAAACATGTTATACGCTTATTGGATCTAAATTTAAGCAATATATTTCTTAATTTCCGTTAACAGGCCACTATTCAGGTAAATCAATGAATCGAAACATTCCGATCTTAGACATCCCCGATATGTGCTTTTTGGCACGGCGATAACAAACACAGGGGTCGGAGTTCAAATTCCAAAATGGTCAGGGATGTTATTCTACTGCTGAGATCATAAGACTTCAAAACCTCAACCCAGGGTTTCCCCTAGTTTGCTTGATTGACTGTATGAACTGACACTCATGTAAGGGATATGAAATTTACGCAGTCGACTTTAATTCTAAATGAACTCTTTACCCACCCTATTAGGGATACAAACAATGGAAATAATCAAAGTACAATTCTGTATAACCAAAATCTACATGAACAGTTAGATAGCAGTTACACTTTGAAAGCACCCTCACGCATACCTTTTGCATTGTTACTCACAAATCCCTTTGCGCAATCGTCTGAAGTGATCATTTCCATCAATTACATCATTGGCACGTCTAATCAAACCAGGTCAGATACTTCTGTATACATTCCATGAGTGAAGTCTTATCAGTTGGCGAATTATTGCAGAGGACATATACATCACCTTACCAAGACAGTAACACATTTCATATGTAGGACTGGTGGCACGAATAAATAGAACACGGGAGTGGTTCAAAGGGGTACTGGCCCGAATGAGGATAAACGTCCATTGACTTGTTGCATTCTGTACAGAAATAGGGGTTTTATAGATGATTACTTGATTACATTAGGAGAATATGAAACAAAGCCGAGACTTGAAGGTCAGATTTGAGATAGAAAAAGCAATAACAACTAGTAATATTGATTTCAAGGTGGTAAGGCAATCTTCAGATATAAAGTTCATTTTATTTGAATCAAACAATCAACGATAAGTCACTTCGCCGTCATCATACTTAGAAAAACTAAGGTTTCGGATAATGATGGAAGAGGATAGATCTAAGCTTACAGTAAACAATTCTG